TCTCTACTAAAAATATAAAATAAGCTGGGCGTGGTGGCACACACCACCCCCAGGTGGGGTTTTGGTGAGCTGATATTGTGCCATTGCACTCCAGCCTGGGCAACAAGAACGAAACTCTGTTTCAATTTCATGGGATAATTTTTTTTTTTTTGAGATGGAGTCTCACACTGTCACCCGGGCTGGAGTATAGTGGCGTGATCTCGCATCACCGCAACGTCTGCCTCCCAGGTTCAAGTGATTCTCCTTGCCTCAGCCTCCTGGGTAGCTGGGATTACAGGGGCCCGACACCACGTCCAGCTAATTTTTTTGTATTTTTAGCAGAGACAGTGTTTCACTATGTTGGTCAGGCTAGTCTTGAACTTCTGACCTCATGATCCACCTGCCTTGGCCTCCCAAAGTGCTGAGATTACAGTTGTGAGCCACTGTGCCCAGCCTCATGGAATAATTTTTAAATGAAGCATATAATTATAAGCTTCTTAATGATTCTGTGTAAGATTCATAGCTAAGTGAATTTTAAGTGAATTCTAGATTTTATTGTAAATTGTACTTATGATAGCATATTATTTTTTATTTTATATTCTCGATTTTTGCTTTATGATTTTAACTAAATGTATGTCCTGTATTTACAAGGTTTTAGTTTTTCTATCTTATCTTTTTGTACGTTTTTCTTTCATAGTATGAAATAAATCTTTTGGAGCTGATCCAGAGAAGAAGAACAGTAAGTAGAAGATTTTCTAGAAGTTGGAAAAAAATCCAGTGCACTAAGAACTATACAGCAGAACTATACAGCAGAAGTTGGAAAAAAATCCAGTGCACTAAGAACTATACAGCAGAACTATACAGCAGTATGGCTGTATAGTTAGGACTTGTGTTTGGGAGACATTTAGTGTTGAGAAAACTCTGTGGTGATCTGCCTACAATGGATATTTGTAATTATTTGTTTGCTTCGTCAGTACTGTTAAGTGGTCAAGTGGGAATGCTGTTTTGGACAAATGTGATTCAGCTGAGGCTTTGTTTTTTTATCCCCCTTTAGCGCATTGGATATTCATTTAAGAAGGATGAGATTGAGAATTCTATTGTACACCGGGTACAAGGTGTTTTCCGACGTGCCTCAGCAAAATGGAAAGTAAGTGATCAAGGAATCTTTAACTTTAAGAGATGTGAAATATGTATTGATTGTATTGTGTTAGGTATTCATATGCTGTTTTTTATTTTTATCTTGGCTATCTTTATACTTATTCTAATGATTGTATCATTGCTCAAAACATTTTTTGAGCCACTTAACAAACCGGTAAGAAAATTGATCTTATTACCCTATAGTTATTCTGTGAAGACAGTGCTGAAAACAGTGTGTTTGATACACCTGTGGGACATTTGGAAGATACTTGTATATATCAGTAAGTATGCTGAAGACTTAAAGCCAGAAGATAAATGGCTACGTAGGGGCAATACCCCAGAAACTTGATTTATTTTTTTTCTTTTTCTTTTTTTTTTTTTTT